CAGCTCCGAGCACCGCGGCAGGCAACTGCGCAGGCGCCTGGGCATGGGAAGTGGAGAGGACACCAAGGGAAGGTGAAGCAGGGCTGTAATAAAGCTGTGGACTTTATATATAGTTATAGCTCCGGCGAGGAAGGAGGTGCCAGTGGCTCATTCCCGGCCGTGTGTCCCGGCAGTGTTGGCTCCATGGCCCCGCGTCGCTCTCGAGGCTCTGCCCGTCGCCCTCTCCCGCCCTGCGCTCCCCACCTGGGCCTTTCCTGCCCGGATCTGGCTCCTGGCCGGGGAAGGCTGTTATTTACCTTCAAACCTGTTTGGTGGCTTCTCTGGGGAGGGGATGGGTGCGGGGTGGGGATGTGGTGGGACCGAGGCTCCCTGGGCTGGAACAGGGGCTGGGGAGGGGAGCGGGGTGGTCCTGCCTCCCTCTGCAGTGCCGGGACCCCCGTTGTGGGCTGCTGCCAGACCTTCGCCCGGGGTCCGCGATGACACACGGGCTGCCTGCGGGGCGTGCGTGGGGCAGCAGCCAAGGTCAGGGCCAAGTCGGCTGCGATGCAGCCCTGTTGCACAACCAGGTGCCCCCCTGCCATGACAGCAGCCGCGGCTGGAGGCGGCTGGCCAGGCGACGGCTCTCCTCCGAGCGGGGTTTCGCCCTGCGCTGGCTCCTTTGCTGTGGCCCGTTGGCTTGCTGGGGCGATGCAGGGCAGTTTTCTGCACTATGATTTAGAGAAAGAAAATGACCCGAGTTTGTTTTCCTATTTGAAATTAATTTTATTCCTGTCTCTGCGTGGGATCGTGTTTGAGAGTTGAGCCAGCAGTGCAGATCGGGTCGTGTTTATTTGCTTTGCAGAGATGTTTTCCTGGCCGAAGCAGCAGCCCCCAAGTGAGGCCAAGGGCAAGCTGCAGCCCCTCGGCTGGCGGCGGGGGGCTGCATGGCCAGAGCCACAGTAAATATTATCATGCTCTTATCCTCCCTGGAGAGAGCACAGTCCTGCGGCGTGTCCCGGGGCACGAATCCTGTGCAGAGACAAGGGCTCAGGGAGGGAGGGTGGCCAGGCTGGTTGCCTCCAGCGGGGCCATGGCCCCTGGCCCCCCGGCCTCCCTCGCCAGCCGAGCATCGGGGAGCAGAGGCAGGGCAGGGTGGCACAGGCGGGTGCCAGGTCCCACCCAGGGCCACGGAGCTGCCCGAGCGGAGGTGATGGGCCCAGGGGAAAGGTGGACGAGCTCAGGCTCGTAAAGAGGTGGCATCGCTCCCGATGGGGAGATGCCGGCAGGGCTGCCTGGGCCACCCTGCCAGCTGGGGAACCGGCTGGTTGTGCTGGAACAGGAGAGGCCAATTCAGAGGGAGCGGAGGGGCTGGTGCTGGAGCAGAGCACGGGGGCTCTCACAGCCATGGCGGCATCCACATGCTGGGTGCTCCCTGGGGCTCTCGGGGCTGGGGTTCATGGTGCACCCCACTGGCGTTATCCACGCTTATGGCATCCGCAGGCAACTGCCACTTTGCCCCCTCTGCAGCACGGGGAGCAGGGCGGTCCCCAAGCCTGGGTGCACGCCTGGACCGTGCTGGCCATTGCCTGGGAGCAACATGGTGGGAAGGAGCCCCAGAGTGGTGGGAGAGCATCGACCCCATGGGGCAGGGGGTCTTCTCGCTGCCTTCTGCACCGTCCCGGCTGCTGGGAGAAGGGAGGTGAGGTCTCCATCCCGCTGAGCAGCAGGACACACACAGGCAGGTTCTCCTCCCCTTCCTCCCCTGGGGACCTCGCAGCCCCTTCGCTCCCTCCTGCCAGCTCCCCCCTCCTCCCCATTTTTCTCCAGTGAGTCAGTGGTGGTGGAAGGGGCGGGCAGGGAGCTTCGCTGCCTGTTCCCTGCCTCCTGCCGCAGGACCCGCCGCCGCGCAGGGAGAAGGCAAGTCAGGGCAGTGCCGTGCAGGCAAAGATGGATGTTTGCAGCGGAGTCCGGCCAAACCTGCTGCTTCCAGGAGGCAGAGGCATGGCGAGGAGGGGGACAGGAGCCAGGATTCCCTCCTCTGACCCTGCCCGTGTGAAGAGCAGCATCATGGCAAAGCCAGATCCGGGAGGGAGCTGGGCCGGCACCGTATCCCGCTTGCAGCATTGCCAGACCAGGGCCGTACAGTCCCAGCCGTGTTCCTTCGGGGTCTTGGCTCCGCTCTGTCCCTTGTGCAGCCATTCCCATTCCCACCTTGGTGCCCTCCAGCCCCTCTCTGCCAGCACGGAGCGGAGCAGGCAGAGGTGAAGGCAGGGTGCCCGGGGTTCCCTGCCCTTTCCTGTCACTCTGCCTTGTTGTGGGGATGCTTTGCTCCCTCCAGACCATCCCTGGCACCGGTGGCAGCAGATACCAGCTCCGAGGCAGGGCGACTGTCCTTGAGAGAGTGCCTGGCCCCGAGAGGCCTCCGGTCCTTCTCTGGGAGGATCCCACTGCCACGTGCGGACGAGGCACGTGTGTCAGATCAGTACTGCTGAGCCTGGAGGGGATGGGGCGATCCAGGGTGCGTCGCAAGGAATGCACGAGGGACAGGACGCCCGCTCTGACCGGGCGTGTTCCTACCGGCACCGGCTGCAGCTGCGGCGGCTTCCTCGGCCCACCAAGATCTGCAGCCTTTGCCGCAGGATCAGGCCTCTCTCCCTCCTGGCTTCTCCCCTTTTCCAGTCCCTTTTGCAGCAGGTTTTGCTGTGTGTTGACAGAGCCGGGGCGAGGCCATCCGGGCGAGGAGGACATGGTAGCGAAGGTCACAGGGAGTGGGAGGAGAAGCGGAGACTGCTCTTCACACACCGCCGCGCTCCCCAGTGTCCGCCCTCGGCACAAGGCTCCTCCGCGGTCAGGCTGGGCGGTGGCCACGGCGTCCTGCCCGGATTATCCTGTGGGTGATTGCAGCCACCATTGGTGAGGAGAGGGACGCGTGTCTCCATCAGCAAGGGACAGTCTCGAGGCCCTTTGGGTCCTCATGGGCGATGGGCCATGTACCGGGAGGAGGAGCAGGGACGGGCTGTCTGCCGGCACCTGGAAATGTCCTTACAGCCCCGGGCAGGAGCTTCCATGTGTGCTGCCATCAGCAGACCCACGGGGCTGAAGTTCAGTTGTGCCTGGGTCCTGGACCGGCAGCACAGGGGGGGATGGTCCCCCTTTACATGCAGGGGCTCGCAGAGCTGCTGGTGCTGTGCCAGGGGCTCCCGTTGCAGCCCTGTCCATGCAGGCAGAGCTGGACCCACCATCCTGGAGGGCCGGACCTGGCGTCACTCTCGGCTGTGTTCACTCGCCGCCGGCCGTGGCCCTCGCTGGGGCTCGTGACGGGCTGCCCGGAGAGGAGAGGGCAGCGTTCAGCGCAGCACGTGGCTGCCCGCTTTGTGCATCCTCAGCCCTTTAATTATGTCCCTTTTCCACTTGTGCTGTGAAAAGAGCTGGGGAGCGTCTGCCTGCAGCCGCCGGCACCTTCTGGGTGAGCGTGTGGGCAGCGGGGCCAATCCTGCCCATGCTGGAGGCAGGGTGCTGGGTTATGCATAGCAGGGGCTGCAGGGCACTGCTTATATTTGCTGTTATGGGCATTTAGGAGATGCAGGGGAAGAAACCCTCCCGAAGCCTGGAGCTGCCCGGCCGGGGACGCAGAGGTGCCCTTTGCAAGGTCAAACTGTCCCTCGGGCTGCACATTCAATGCCTGGGGTCCGGTGGGACCCTCGCTCTCTGCTTTGGGTAACGCTGCTCCATCTGCAGCCAAACCTCCATCCTGGCGCAACGAACCCTGGGCGCAGCCCACGGGGAGCTGGCAGGGCAAGGGAAGGAGGGTTTGACACGTCGGCTCCCGGGTGGCACGGGGACGGCCCTGCCCACTGGGTAAATACTGGGAGCTCTTCACCTTTTGGGGCAAAGCGCCTGGAGATGGGACGGATGGGGCTCCCTGAGGTGCTGGGCAGCTGGGGCTGATGGATGGGTGGCTGGGAATGAGCAAATTCCCCTGCTGTGTGGGGCAGCACTGCTGCAGGCAGCCTGCCTGCTGCCTGCCAGATGGCACGGCGCTCCCTGGCACCCACCGCCCCGGGAGCGCGCAGCACCTCGTGCGGTGCGGACAGGCGGCTGTCAGGTACCGTGCCGGTACCTGACTGCCTGGCATTGCTGCCCCTACCTTCACGTGCCCCCGCGCCAGCAGCTGGAGCTACTGGTTAGACTGGTCCAAGACCTCGTTCTCCCTCAGTGCTGCCAGCTCTTGTGACCGTGACATAGCCAGGCTGGACGCCCTGTCTCTAAGGGAAAACAGCCTTTGCCCCATGATGGCTTGTGTCCTTCGCTGCGGGCTGAGCCATGCCGGGAGCAGGGTTCTCCCTGGCAGGGCTGGGGGGCTGCGGTGGGCACCGGGTCCTGGGGGGCACTGGGGATGGACAAGGAGGGGGAACACCAGCACCGTCGGCTGCGCTGTGCCACATCCCAAGGGCCGGTGCTCGCCGGAGGAAAAGCCTCCCAGCTCCTCCCAGTCGGCTGTGCTGTTGTGGAAGCAAGCAACTGGTTTGAGGGGGGGATGCTGTGCCCAGCGGGGAGCAGGCAAGGAGGGTCCTGGGGGAGTCCCAGCCATGCGAGAGCAGGGAGTTGGAGAAATCCCGGCCCTGAGCCCGGCAGGATGGATCCCTGCCCCGGCAGTGCCGTGCGTGGGAGGAGGCGGGAGAGCTGGGGGCAAGCAGGGAGGCCAGAGGAGGGGCCCCCGCTCTCCTCTTCCCGTGACCAAGGATCACGGTGGGCGCAGCTGGGGCTGTCCCCTCCTGCCGCCGCGCAGCCATCCCCGCGGTCTGCCCCCCGCCCGCGGGCGGTCGGCCCGGAGCCTCTTCGCCCGGCCGAGCATCCTCCTGCTGCGCGGATGAGGACGCAGAGAGGGAGCGGGGGGCCGCCAGCATCCGCCTTGCTGGCACACGGCTGGGCGAGAGCCGCCCCGGCATAATAGGCAGAGCCTTCGTGGGGGGCGGCGGAGCCCCCGCTCCTGCGGGGACCAGACCCTCTCCCCGGCCACCATGGTGGTTTTCATGGGCAGGAACCTCTCCTTGCTTCTGGCTTTCTTCAAGAAGAAGGGTGAGTGAGCGGGAGGGAGGGAGCAGCGCCTTGTCCTTACACAACCCCTGCCGCCAGGACCCCTGCCTGCCCGGCACCGGGTGCTCGCCCACCCGCAGTGGGCGGGGGGGGCTGCCATCCCAGGGGGAGGGCAGGGAAGGTCACCCCAGCCCTGGCCTCGTCCGCTGGGAAGTTAACGGGATAAATCACTGTGCTCCTCTCGCCAGACGGCGGCTCCGATTGTGCCAGGGTGGGGGCATCAGGCGAGGGGCTGCCGAAATTGGGGGAGGAAAGGGCTGAGGTGGAGGGGAACATGATGGGGGGGGGGCTGTGGGTGTCTCGTGTCCCCTGCAGGGACCTTACACCAGCATAGGGATACCCTGCGCTGCTACCCGCTCTCCCGGCCTGGCCGTGTCCCCGGTGCCTGCTCGCCGTGCCGCGGGTGCTGGTGGAGGCAGAGGCCGGCGTGGCGGCATGGCGCGGCAGGGCGGGCCGGCTCCATTGTTTGGGGCCTGCTCCTTTGTGTGCCGGAGCCGGACCGCGGCCACCGCACTGCCTGGCTTGGCTGGCCGGGAGGGGACGGGGGACACGGGGGACAAGGGATGGGTACGTGGCGCCGACGATGCTGAGCAGCAGGTGCCCGTGTCCCCAGGGTGCTGCCGCCAGCCCCGCTGGTTTCCTGTGCTCGCCCTTCCCTTCCTCAGCCTGAAGTTGTTTTTTTCCAGGCAGGAAGAGTTTGAGGCTTCGCAGCAGGCAGTGGTGTGCAGGCAGGAGCAGGCAGGGCTGTGGCCGCGGTGCTGCGGTGCCCTGGCCAGGTGATGCCAGGTGCAGCCCCCAGCAAGTGCCTGGAGCCGGTCATGGGCACCCCAGGGTGCTGGCGGTGGTTTGTGGGGAGGGGGCTGCGAGACGGGGTGTGGAGGGCCCTGTGCTTGCCCCGGCACGGCATGTGGGGTCTCCAGCACCTGGGGGGCTCAGAGGGGGGATTTGGGTCCTCTGGGGTCTCTGCACCAGGCTGTGCCTCAGTTTCCCTCGTCTGTGCAGTTCCCAGCCTGCCTGGGCACGGGGCGAGTCCCTGCTCTTAGGGTGGTTTGCAAGGCCTGGGGATGATGCAACCCTCCAAAGGGAAAGTCATCGTCCTTCTATCCTCGTTTTACCCCCCTGTGCTGCCCCTTTCCGCTCAGCTGCCCACAGCCCCACACAACTCGCTGCCTCGTTTGCTCCTAATGAAGGTGCTGGGGAGGAGGGCGGTGCCGTGCCCCTGCTCCGCTCCGGCTGGCGGGGAGAAAACCCTGCAGCTTCACAGTGGAGACAGCCTGACTCCGGCATATCGACCAGCCAGGCATTTCCAGCGCCCAGTTCGGAGATGAGCGGGATAACGTCATCCCGGGCCAGCTGTCATCGCCCAGCACTTCTCCCAGCTCGCTGGGGCCGCATCCTGTGGGTGGGGGTGCATCGGTGGGATCGTGGCTGCGTCCCCCCGGCCAAGCTGACTCCTCTGTCTCCGCAGGCGCTGCCAAGGGCGAGGCTGACCGCGACAATGTCTTCTTCCCCAGCACGCGGCCCCCGCACCTGGAGGAGCTGCACAACCAGGCCCAGCAGGGACTGAAGTCCCTGCAGCACCAGGGTAGGTGTCCCCAGCCCCGGGGTGGCCCGGGGACACGGCGGAGGGCGCAGCTCCTGCCTGGCTGGGCTCCGTGGGCGGCGCAATGGGGCTGACCAGAGTCCAGCCCTGGGGCTGGCAGCGGTGGCTGGGGTGTGCGGGCAGCAGTGCCGGACTCGGCAGCCGTTTTGCTGGCTGGCGGCTCCCCTGGCTCCCCCGGAGGGATTTACCCCCTGCCTTTCCTCCGCAGAGAAGCAGAAGCAGACCAAAAGTGCCTGGGACCACGGGGACACCAGCAGCCTCCAGGTGAGCCCTGCCGAGGAGCCAGCTCTGTCCCATAGCACTCCTGGGGTGCGCTGGGGGTGAGGGGACACAGGGTGGCCCCTCTGTCCCCCCTGGGTGGTGTTTGGGGGCTGGGGGCAGAGGGGGAACCAGCCGAGGCTGCAGGACCATGGTTGGGCGGTTGTGGGGCGGGAAGGGGCTGTGCGTCCCTCGGCACTGTCCCCTTTGCCCCATGATGAGTCACTGTCCCTGTCCTCAGCCTCAGCACGTCCTGCCCTGCCTTGTGGGGCTCTGCCCAGGGACCCCCACCGTGCCTGCGTCCCTCCGTCCCCCCCTCCCGCCCCGCTGGTGTCCCCTGGCAGCCCCGAGCGAGGTGAGGTGACGGGGCAGTGCAACAGGGACCATCGGCCACATCCAGCCCCGTGGCTGGGCCCCTCCCTGGCTGCTGACGAGGAGAAACTCCCACTCTCTTGGCCAAGCTGGGCTTTGCTGCTTCCCCGGGCCCTGACCCCGCTGCCACCACCTCACCGGTCCCTGTTTGCTCAAGCCGCTGCCACCCGCTGGCTCTCGGCCCCCTTAACCCCTTGGCAGCGGGGAGTCGGGAGCCCCTGGGCGGGCAGAGCCACAGGGGAAGGCTCAGGACGGCGTGGTGGAGGGGTTGGGTGGTGGTTCACGCTGATCCGTCTCATCCCGACCTCTGCCTGTGCCGAGAGATGCTTTGGAGGGATGGGGGGGCACTGAAAGCCGTGCCTGTTGCGGGGCTGTGCCGCTGGCTGTGCCCAGGTGGACATGTGCGTGCTGCAGGTCCCCGGTGCAGCCACGTCACTGCCTGCCTGTCCCCTCCCCGCCTCAGCCCCACGCCCCTCTCCCAGCTGTGGCAGCCCTCCAGCCCCGGGCTCAGGGTCACAGCAGGCCTGGGCACAGCCATGGGGCCATTTTTGGCTTGGCATGGTGCTGAGGCCGGCGGTTCCCTTGGCTGCTCCTCCGGCGGGTCGGACCCCGGCTCGCCTGCTCTCCGGGGGGCTGCGAGGCCACGCGGGGTCCCTGGGGCTGATCCCGGCCCCGCTCCTGGTGGGAGGACTCTGGATGCCGGCGTGGCTGACTCAGCCTTTGGCCCTCGGAGAAGCTTTTGTCTCGGCAGCACTGGGCTGCGGAGTCAGTTTGCAGCGGAGAAGGGGCCTGGTGGGGGCCGGGGCAGCTCCGTCCCCGCAGCCCGGGATCCGCCTGAGCCCACTCTGCCCACACAGTCCTGCGCATCTTCGGAGGATGACAGCGTGTCCGTCCGGAGCCGGGCGGCCTCCTGTGCCACGGACAGCACCTCTGAGGACGCCCTCTCCATCCGCTCCGAGATGATCCAGCGGAAAGGTACTTGGCTGGGGGGCTGCAGGGCCGGGTGACGCGAGCCGAGGGGGTGCGAAGGGGGCCAGGGCGCATGGCAGGAAAGCTGGCCTCTGCGTTGGTGTGGCCACGAGTCAGCGCGGGGATTTGAGGGCCCTTGGAGAGAAGAGAGCAACTCTGGCTGAGTCAGAGCATTTGGGCTGGGCGAGGGGGACTGACAGACGGACAGACACCGTCTCCTCCCTGTTCAGACTGCGCGGCTGTTTGGCAGCTGCTGGTGCCTCTCCGGACTGTGCCGAGCGCCTGAGCCTGGCTTGTGCTGGAGCATCCCCGGCAGTGGGGGTGCTGGGGACGCTGGGGATGCCCCGGCGAGGGCCCCCCTCACGCCGGCTGGACCCGCTTGTGCCTCTCGCAGGTTCCACCTTCCGACCGCACGACTCCTTTCCCAAATCCTCGGAGAGGGCTGGCAAAAAGAGGAAGGAGAGGAGGACAACGGTGCTGGGCATCCCTCAGCATGTCCAGAAGGAGCTGGGTAAGTGTCGGGGGCAAAGGGGGATTTTTAGGGTCTGATCCCGTTGCCCAGGCTCTGTTTGCCTTGGCTTGGTGCGTCTGCCTTGGGATGACGCTGGGTTTGTCTCTCCCTGCTCCCAGGTCTCAGGAACAGCCGGGAAGCCAAGGGACGCCCCGAGGCTGATGGGCGAGGGCAGGCGGGGCGCGGGGGCAGCCAGGTGCCGCAGCCCTTGCTGAACGGTGGGCAGGTCTCTGTTGACGCCATCCGCATCCCGACCGTCGACGGGAAGCTGCAGCCGCTGGCTGTCTCTGGAGGCGCCCGCATCTGCCTGGGAGCCTTGGAGGAGGCGGACGCGGCCCTGCAGAAGCACATCGACCGGGTTTACTACGACGACACGTTGCTGGGGAGGAAGACGGTGGCCAAGCTTTCACCCATGGCGAGGCCAAAGTCGCTGGCTGTGCCGGGCATGACCACCAACGCCAGCCCGCCAGAGCTGCTGAGCCCTGTCATGTCCATCTCGCCCCAGGGCACCTACATGTCCAAGATCATCCCCAATGCCATCCTGCCGCCCATGGTGGACGTGGTGGCCCTGACGCGGAGCAGCGTGCGGACGCTGAGCCGCTGCAGCCTGGTGTCATCCAGCCCGGCCTCGGTGCGCTCCCTCGCCCGCTTCTCAGAGTACAGCGCCCGCAGCCGCGAGCCCTCCTCCCCCCG